ATATATCGTACTTAAATTCCGGTAAGAGGTATCTGTATATTTCATCATTCAAAACTCACAATTTCTCACATCAATCTCCCGCTGTCTGTCCGTCCTTTGGGTGAATTAATTGTACATGAATTGGTGCAATTTGAGAAACCAAAGAGTCTGGACTGCTGAGCACTCTCCAAAATTTCTTGATTCTTTTGTGGGTGTCTATAATTTAAGGCTTTTGAGTTTTTAAATTTTGTGACTACTGGAATTATTTTGTGAGTTTTGTTGAATATTTGATTTTTTTAATGCGGATTCTGTAAGAATTATGTGTTTTGATATAGGCTTTGGAGATTGGTGTTGTTTATTGATACTTAAATATGATTATTTTGGGGTGTTGGGCTTTCTGGGTCTGTGAAGTTTCTGCCTAGAGATTCTCTTTCCTTTTTATTTGCAGTGATAATGAAAAACTGATACAATACATTAACTAGCATTGTTTGGTTGTTTACATTGGACCCTCTTCGATCAAAATTTTTGGATTGCAAAGATTATTCATTTTTGGACTTGTCTTGGGGAGTTGGATTTACTTTCTAGAAAGATTGTGTTCTAAAAGAAAATTTTTAGCATTACTTATTTATGATATCATTTTTGTTTTACATTTTGCTATACAGTTTATTAATGTGGGTTTTTATTTTTTTTATTTTTTATATTGTAGATAAAAAAGAGCAACTATCCTCTAATATCAGAGGAAGAAAGACAGCTAGACGATGAGTTTTCGAGAAGGAGAGTACGTGAACGTGTGGAAAATGATGATGATGAAGTTTCAAATATTTATCAACGTGATGATACTACACCTAACAAACGTCAACGTAAGGAACTCAAAATCGGAGAAGATGAAAAACTTGAGGAATGTATAACGCAATGGTCATCTACCATTAGTATGACGAATGAGGAAACAGAACATAGGATGCTATATCTTAAAGAAAAGCTTGCATACATCCAAGAAAAATTATCTAATCACGAGGGCACTTATGAAGTCACTAGTCTAGACCCTTATTCATATATGGAGTGTTTGAACATATTACACAACATGGAAGGAGTGTCTAATGAAGTTTATATGAAAACAATAAAGGCATTTAAAGATTCAAATTTCAGGATAACATTTGTGATGATGCCAAAAATTAGGAGAGGACCTATCTTGGAACTTCTTTGACTTGCCTAATTGGTTAGCTTGAGTATTTTGACCTTATAATGTAGGGCTGTGTTCTTTTCATATATTGATTATGAACTTTGTAATTCTCAAAATTTACTACTAGTTTTATTTTAATCAATGTATTGAATTTCGATATTTACATTTGTTGGAGTATTATTATAAATGATTATAGTAAATGCATAAATGATGAGTTACAATGATTTATTATGTACAAATGATTTCAATGCGATTGTTGGAGATATACAATGATTCCCTTTTTTTTTTTTTTT